ATTTGAAAAATTATTAAGTTTTATAATAAAATTTTACTATAATTTTATTAAATTATTATTTTTTTATATATGACAAAAAATTTATATCATAAAAGCATCTAACCGATGTACAAAAAAAAGTTGAATTATTGACGTACAAGAACAGAAAATGAAAACAAATTTGAGTTTGGAGAGGCTGGTGGCAGCCTTTTTTGGACATTCTTGAAGATAAAAAAAAAAGAACAGAAAACAAATAAACTGGGGCAAAAAAAAAGAAAAAAGTAAAAAAATAAAAATAAAAAAAAAAGGAAAAAGAAGGAAGAAGCAGTAGCTAAGCTTGTTCCTTTAAACGATGGTGTTTCTCGAGCCACGGGAGAAATTAAGAATCTGAATCTCTCCCTCCGAATAGAGACGAGCCAGTTAAAATCAAACTCACTTTTCAGTCCTACCAATTTTCAACTGTTCTAATGGGTGTCTCTGGCGTACCTACCGTCGACGAAGGTCCCAATCTTGACGCCGAATCCTCCCTCCTATTCTCCCAGCAAAAACCGCCAAGCCAGATAACGCATTTCACTTTGCGTACATCATCTACTTTACGTGAGGTATTGACATTCTCCTGCAATGGAACGCCTTCATACCGCCGTTGATTACTTCTCCTACCTCTTTCGCGACGCCTCCGTCGACCGCATCTTCGCCGTCGTTTACATGTGTTGGGATTGGGCCCAACATTCAATTTGGGCCATGCCCAATAAGCCCAGTCATACATCCACGAGACCTAAATTATGGAGACATACCCACATTGGCAGTGACACGTGGGCCAATGAGATGTATACACATATAGACTATGTCAGTACATGGGGTTATAAATACCTCCAACTACCTTCATGCAAGGTATTAACTCCATTTCGCTTCTCTTTCTCCAATTACTCTTTGGAAGCTTTTCTCTCTAGAATATTGACTATTTGCTAACTTGGTGTTGGAGTGTTTTCTCCAAAAAAACATCCTCGGAAATTTTAGGTGTTGAAGCAGCCAAAGGAATCGACAATGTTGGATTGTGAAGCTGCTTAAACATTTGGCGCCGTCTGTGGGAACCTGAACAAAAAGTACTGTGACTTAACTAGCACAAGCTGAAAATGGTGCACACCTTCACAGGAAACCAGCCCTCAAAAGGCAACGTGGACGACCAGGATAACACCTAGCTTTTGGAAAGTGATCTTAATGACTTCCAACCAATGTCGAGAAACCTTTTCGTGGGAGGAGCGGAACAAGAACAATCAAACACTTCAGATGATGAACGAACATCTATTGGGTATGCAACCCAACCTGAAGAACAGTTTCGTGTCCCAACAGGAGTCAGCCGAAGGCATTCCAAGCAAAATGTTTCGCGACCTGAGAGACCCATGGAAGCTGCTAGGACGACCGAGTTGGAAGAACGAACCCGAGTTTTAGAAATGGTCATGGGAAAAATCCTCTCTCGTTTGATCCCGGACGACCCCTTAATTCCTCTACTGAATAGGGGTGAACCACCGGTAACGGCAGTTACCACCTGTCACTCCCCAACTTTAAGTAATGTAGTGATTCCAACCAAGCCAAGGGGAAGTGGAAGGCTAAATACGGAGCCTAGTTCGTCTAAACACAGTGACGAATTAATGAAGAAAAACGTAGAACTTGAGAAACAGTTAAAAGACCTACAAAGATCTGTGGATGAACTAAAGTGTCCAAGGTCACGATAGCAAGCTTTAGATTTGGACATTGCCCCACTCAATCAATCCATTACCATGGAACCGTATCAAGAGGGATTTAAAATCCCCCATTTAGAAACGTATGATGGTTTCGGTGACCGGATGAACATTTACATACTTATCAAGCCATCATGAAGATTCAGAATGCTACCGATGCAATGATGTGCAAAGTATTTCCCACAACGTTGAAATCCATTGCTAGAAGATGGTGCCTCAAGCTCCCCAAGCATTCTGTAACTTCTTACCCTCAGCTCGCCATGCTGTTCTCTAACAAATTTGCAAGCCAGAGGGAAATTAAACGTACTGCTACTGAATTAATGCAAGTTCATCAGAGGGAAGGAGAGTCTTTGAGAGACTATATGCAAAGGTTCAACAAAGCCACCTTGGACATTGATAACTTCTCTGATACCATCTGTTTATCAGCCCCATTGCACGGCTTGAAACCTGGTTGATTCCTATACGACCTGCTAGAGAATCCACCGAAGTCGCGGAACGAAATAAATGACAGATCAGCAAGTTTCATATTGTCAAAAGACTTCTAGTCATCTAAGTGGCAAGCTGACGATAAACAAAGTAAGGAGCATAAACAGCTTGAAGCAAGGGAAGAGAAGAAAAAGCAGAAGGTGAGCAAGCAGAGAGGAAAGCCATTGTCATTCCCAAGATATGCCAATTATATCCCATTGAGCTCATCAAGATCTCAAATATTGGCATAGATACAGCATTGGGTCAAGAGACCACCTCCTTAGACGCATGAATATCCACGAGCTGACGAGTAAATATTGTAACTATCACTGGAGTTATGTCATAACATAGAAGACTATCAGAGCTTGAAGGACGAGTTGGAATTCTTAGATTGCAATGGAAAATTGGAGGGATACGTCCATAAACCTTTTGCCCAGCAACCCAATCAGACACATTTTGTGCAGGAATATTCCCGATCTTAGGGATAAGGATATCAACTTGGTAGCAACCAAAATTATTACCAGGGGAATCAATATTCATCTGAATCTGCCAAAACCTACAAAGGACGCCCCTTTAACCGATGAGGGCAGGGACAGAAAACTTCTGCACAACATCAAAAAGATCATAGAGGGGTTGGTTACAATGGGATACGTCCACCGTCTGGCACAATCAACATGATTTCTGGTGGCATGAATTCGGGAGGACAAAGTGCCTGAGGTTGTAAAACTTATGCTCACCAGGCGATGATAGTAGATAAAAATAAACCCCTAAAACGACCATTTGAAGAAGCAGAGTGGAAGAACACACCCATCACATTCAATCCTGCGGATTATAAACGGATAGGGAAGGAGCCGGATATTGTGATGCCTTATGCATACCCCTTTGTGGCAACAGTGCACATAGGCAATCACAATGTCAACAAAGTCTTCATTGATAAAGGTAGCTCTCCCGATATTTTATATTGGAGCTGCTTTCAGAAGATGCAATTAAACCTAGCTTCCATGCAGAGATATGAAGGGCCCATATATGGATTTGATAATTAGCCCGTTTCGGTCGAAGGGGTGATAACTCTTCCAATCTATGTAGGTACGGAACCGAGGTTTAGGATGGCGTCCGTTAGCTTCTTGGTGGTTAAGATGGAAGCAGCATACAATGCCATAATTGGGAGAGCTACACTTTGCGAGCTCAAAGTTGTCATTTCCCAGCCACACCTCTACATGAAATTCCCAACCCCTCAGGGAATATGGGTGCTAAAAGGAAACCAAAAAATGGCTAGAGCATGCTACCAAGACACTTTCAAGAAAGTTGAACCCGCTGCAATGCCAAAAACTCCTTTAGTTACTAGACCGAACCAACCGGGTTTGCAGGCAATGAGCATCTCTGACATAGACTACCGTCTAGAGAATGTTGAACAAAAAGCTGAACTAGTTAAGCCAGTAGAAATCGTTGCATTAGACTCCGATAATCTAGAGAAGATGGTGAAAATTGGAACTAAGCTCACAGAGAAAGAGAGAATAGAGCTCCTACAGTTCCTAAAAGCCAACCAAGATGTCTTTGCGTGGACAATAGACGAAATGCCGAGAATTCCAGCAGAATTCGTAGTCCATAAGCTTAGTACTGACCTGACCAGAAGATAAGTGGTGCAAAAACATCGCCTTATAAGCCTGGAGAAGCAAGCAGCAATAGAGGACGAGATACAGAAGTTGTTGGAAGTAGGTTTTATCAAACGGGTTAACTACTCACAATGGGTGTCCAATCCCGTGCTTGTCAAGAAGCCTAACAGCAAGTGGAGGATGTGCATTGACTTCACCAACTTGAATGAGGCATGCCCTAAGGATCCCCATCCACTGCCTAATGTTGAAAAGTTGGTGGAGTGAGCTGCTGGTCATGAACGCATGAGTTTTTTGGATGCTAGTTCCGGATATCATTAGGTTCAGTTATGGTTGGATGACTAGGAAAAGATAGCATTTTATGCATGGGACGCAATTTATTGCTATGTCATGATGCCATTCAGTTTAAAGAATGCTAGTGCAGTATATCAGAAGCTAGTTCAGGTCATATTCAAGCTTCAAATTGGTAGAAACATTGAAGTATATGTCGATGACATGATTGTTACTAGCGTGCGAGTTGAGGATCATATTGACGACCTGAATGAAACATTTCAAAACCTACGCCGAGCACAAATGCGGTTGAACCCATTGAAATGTACGTTTGCTGTGGAATCGGGCAAGTTCCTGGGTATGTGATGCCCAAGAAAGGAATTGAGGTCAACTCGGATAAGGTTGTGGCTGTGCAACAGATGGAGCCTCCTAAGACAGTGAAAGAGGTGCAACGTCTGACAGGTCGTCTTGTCGCCCTGCACAGTTTCATAGCCAGGTCGGCAGAAAAGTGCCTCCCATTCTTCAAAGCTTTGCGAGAGCCAAATAGCTTCCAGTGGACGAGTGAATGCCAATAGGCTTTCGATGAGTTTAAGCAATACTTGGCATCAACACCTTTGCTCTCCAAGCTTGTTGAAGGAGAAAGGTTGTACTTATATCTAGGTATAGCAGATGAGGCAGTCAATTTAGTTCTTTTAAGGGAGCAAGATAAACAGCAGAAGCCCATCTGTTATATCAGCAAAGTCTTGTAAGGTGCAAAACGAAATTATCCTATTGCTAAAAAGGCTACTTTTGCACTCGTTTGCACTGCCCGAAAGTTGAGGGCTTATTTCCAATCTCACGAAATTATTGTCTACACTGACCTACCGCTAAAAAAGATATTACAGAAACCGGAGCTTTCTGGTCGGCTAATTGGATGGGCGGTCGAGTTGAGCGAGTATGACCTCAAATTTCAACCATGCACAGCTATCAAGGGTCAAACTTTAGCAAACTTCATAGTGGGGTGCCACTCGACAACTGTAGAAGAAGCCTTGCCGGCAGGACCGATATGGGCTTTGTTGGTAGATGGGGCTGTGAGCGTTGAAGGATCAAGGGAAGGGGCATGCTAATAAGTCCAAATGGTTTTAAATCTGAGCACGCATTGAGATTCAATTTTAAGACCATAATAATGCCATCGAGTATGAAGCACTCATCTATGGTCTAAAGTTAGCATCTAAGCTGAAAGCGCAGCACATAAGAGTCTTTAGCGACTCCCAACTCGTAGTAAACCAAGTAAATGAAAGTTGTGATGTTAGAGACCCTCAGCTCGATTGCTATGCCTCTGTGGTCAGCAAGATGAAGGCAGACTTTATTTCATTTTGGATTGATAAGATACCAAGGGTAGATAATAGATGAGCTGATGAGTTATCGAAGCTGGCTTCATCGCAAGATATCAATCCTCATAGGACGACAGTTGTTGAGATCCTGGACGCACCGAGTTACACTAACTTGGGGGACGAGTGCCTGGTGTTGAGTACATATCCCTCATCGCTGAGCTGGACTATGCCACTGATTAATTACTTGCGAAATGGTGAATTGCCTAAGGATCCATCTGATGCTTGATTGGTTAGGCGTAGGGCAGCACATTTTACCCTTATTAATGATCAGTTGTATAAGCGAGCGACTTCAATGCCCCTACTACACTGTCTCACTCCTATTAAACTGAGTATGCGGTGAGAGAAGTTCATGAAGGAGTATGTGGCACGCATATAAGAGGAAGGACCCTAGCTCGAAAAATTTTAAGACAGGGGTTTTACTGGCCTGCCATGGTCGAAGATGCACAGGGTTATGTTAAAAAGTGCTCGACTTGCCAATTTACCGTTGATGACATTCACATGCTAGGGGAAATGTTATCTTCTTTCACTTTGCCCTGGCCTTTCGCTCAATGGGGTGTTGACCTCCTTAGATCCTTTATCAAAGGCAAAGGAGGCTGTATGCACCTTATTGTCGCTGTGGATTACTTTACTAAATGGATAGAAGCCAAATCGTTATCCACGACAACTGAAAGAAGATTGAGAAATTTCTATTCAATTCCATATTGTGCAGGTTCTGTATTCCCAGACAAATCATTGTCGATAATAGACCTCAATTTCGAGCTGCAGCCCTCAGGTCATTTTGTAATGATTATGGTATTGAGCTCTCCCTTACGTCTGTGTACACCCTATAGTCCAACGGACAAGCAAAGTCAGCTACTAAGATCATTCTGCGAGGACTTAAGACACGTGTCCTAGCTGCACAGTCCAATTGGGTTGACGAGCTCAACAAGGTATTATGGTCATGCCGTACAACTCCCAGATCGGCTACTGGAGAGATCCCATTCTCCCTTGCTTACGGGACTGAGGCTGTTCTTTTTGTGGAAGTAGGTTTATCCACTAATCAATTTTCCCGGCATGATCATCCTGATAACTAGCAATTCCTAAGAGAAAACCTGGACCTAGTGGAGGAGGTTAGGGAAACATCTAGGATTAAAAATATGGTGTATCAAGGCCGCGTCGCTAGGTTTTACAATAAGCGGGTGCAAGCTCGCCAATTTTAGGTCGGTGACTTAGTATTACGGAAGGTTGGACTCACTAATGCGTATTCACACATGGGCAAGCTCGCTCCTTATTGGGAAGGTCCTTACATGATTACTCAAATCGAGCAACCTGGGTCATACATTTTAGCATATTCACAAGGTCGATGGCTACCATTCACGTGGAACGTTCATAATCTTAGGAAATATTATAGTTAATTTGTATTGTTTCTTAACATGTGGAAAGGATGAACAGTGTATGAATACCATGCAAGTAATACACATAGCATTCCAAAAAATTGTCTAGTTATATTTCTTGCAAGTGTGTTACATGTAATATCAAAGCAAGTACAAAATTTGCCCTAGACATGGAAATTTTAAAACTAAAAAGGCAAAAGGAAAATGTAAAGCCTAATCCTAATCATCCGTTAAATCAACAGGAATGGATGCGTCAGCATGAGCTGGAGAAGGAATGGCAACAGTGGAGATTGGCTGAGGTGCAGGGGGAGTGCTTGAGGGTTCAGCTTCTTCTTCGGGTGCGCCACCCACCTAGGAATCGAACCTAGGCAGGTTCTCAAAATCTTCTCCCTTTTCCAAAACGGATGAAGGCCATATTGGCACTCCATCTTCGTTCAGCTCCCACTTGAGCCGCACGGTAGTATCAGTAGGGGAAGCAAGGCTTTTCCCCTCTTCACCAAACTCTTCACCCTCAAAAAACGCCAGCTCGCCAATTGGAAAGTCTAGTCGGTGCTTTAACACTTTTCCACGAACGTCATTGTAAATCTCTATCGTGGTGTTCATGGATGCCATAGCCACGGCATCCTTGAACATATCAGCACCTACTAGCCACTCTGCTCCTTGAGCTCGCGCAATGCCTATGCAGCGCTGGTGTTGGGTCTTGGCTTCCTTAACCCCTCCTTAGCGTGGGCAAGATCTTGATCAACCACTGCTACCCGCCGTTTGAGAGTGCTGAGGTTGTTCAGAGCGTTGTCTCTTTCAACTTCAGCCTTCTTCGCACGATCCACCGCACGAACGACCTCGTCCATGGGCACCTGGAACCCACTCTCTTTTTCGGCTTGAACCTTCTCCAACTCCTCCTTCAGTTGGTTGACTTTGTTGGCCAACTCATCAGCTCGGCTCTTGGCTGATGCACCCCTGTTGGCCATCTCTGAACTTTGCAAACGGTTCACCTCATCCTCCAAGCTCGCCTTGTCAGATGTCAACTGCTTGCAACTGTTAGTCAGCTCGCGATTTTGCCTACGAGCTGCCTATTCGCTCTCAAACAGAGCCACCGAATAGCTTAACGCTTATAACAACATTTCTACAATAAGCATTTAATACAAAATTAATACAATAAATAACACGATTATTTAACAAAAATACTCACATCCATTAGCTTCAACATAGCAGCGTGACTCCCATGTTACTTAATATAACCCTTAGCGCGTTGATGATCAGCGGGGGGAACAAAATTCTGCATACCCTTAACCATGGCAAGCTGACAGTCGGCTTTAGTATAGCTAAACCCTTCAGGGTATGCGATGCTGGGGCCCATGCTAGATGTTGATGTGGGAAACGCCTCAATAGTGTTACGTGCCTAAGCAGCGGGCACATCAGGTGAGCGTATCGCACTAGACTGACTTCCAGAATTCAATCTGCGCCGAATTAGTGGCATGTCATCCTCAGCACCGGAGTCTTCGCGAGTGCGCCTCTGAGTCTCAACAGAAACGACTTCTACTCTACGCTCGGCATGTGGCAGTGAAGCCGAGTTGGAGCTTCGCTCTCTTTGTGACGAGCTGCGAGGAGCTGCAAGCGACCGCTCGTCAAAGCGTGTTTGTCTATGTGTGCTGGACCCAGCACCTCGAGCTCGCAAGCGTTGAGCTCGTTCACGTTGCCTCTCAAGCATGCTACTCATCTCTCCTGCACAAATAGATGCAATAAAACTCATATCGGTGAAAAACTGTAATTTACAATAGAAATTTACCTTCACTAAACAGGTTTGTGATGTCCACAAACCCGTGAACAGCGAGCACCTCAAGGGTAACCAGGGCCTCCAAATCGACTAAACCCTTCGCCTTTACATAGTTCGTTATTTTATCCTTAGGCTCTAGGTCGTCAGGAGTTAGCATGGGATAGTTCATGTAAGTGTGCCCTAAGCGCCATCGAGAGAGGCGAGCTGCCAAATCGTTGCTGACCCTCTCTGTTCGTGTATCCTGGACAAAAACAAATTGTCTTTTCCATCTGGATACCTTATTCCTCATGTTCGTAAAAATCACCATTTTCTCTCTCCCAGATATATAGTACCACCTCGTTTGAGTGGTACTCAGCCAGCACAAGAAGAGTGATTTGAACACAATGGCCTTCGCAGGTATCTTTAACCTTGCACACAACAGCATAAATCCTATAATAAATTTTATGCTGTTGGGGGTCAGTTTTGTCAGTGCTAGCTCGTACTCCTCGAGAACGTCAAAAATTAGCCCGGGCAGTGGGAATCGCAGGTCGGCATCAAAGTGATCCACATACACGAGTATCCACCCTGTTAGCGACACTGTGTAGGCCCTTTCGTTTTTGGTGCCAGTTCGGAGCAAAATTGTTCTGGGGACGTGATACTGCCTCACTATTTCCTCTAGTCTTTTGTATCCTTTAATTAAGGTCGTGCAATCTGCTATCTCGTGATGAAGGTTTGCCCTAAACCTAAATTTAGCACCCAATGTATGTGGGGCCTTGCGAAGGTTGCTCAGCCTACCACTTATAGTCTTATTTTCCCAACCTGCAACCATGGGCACATCCAAATTCACCTCCACACTTTCCAGCAAGGGATTGCTCATGCCCTCCCCCATATCTTCTCCAACATTGGGAGTCCTTTCTAATGACGACCCCTCAGATGGCGAAGAATGATTATCACCGAAGCCCTCGCGTGCACTCGAATTGGCACTGCTCTCGGGTGTAGGGGTTTCCGGCAAGTCTTGCAGTTCCGGCGGTACAATCATCGCAATCGACTTTACAGACATAACACCCTCTTCCTCTTCCATGCCCTGGTTACCCTGGAGTTCTCCAACTTCTCTAAAAAATTCCATTTGTTATTACCTGAAAGGGTTAAATCTAAAATCCTCTCAAAACTTCGCCTGAAAAGCTTTGGAGTCCTTCGCTGCAAAAAAGCACAGAGAATATGGAAATAGAAATGCCAAAGGAGAAAGAGAAATAACAAAGGGGTTAAGTGATCGTGCCCATGATTACCGTACGCGCCTCTCTGACAACTAATTAAAATTCAACGCGTGGTAGCCATTTATGGCCTGGCGTGTAATGTCCGCTGGCTTTAGTTGTCACGTCTCTTCAAATGCTGAGCCAGCATTTATTGCGGGGATAAGGGAGGGATACTAACCGCTCTGAGTCATATCCTTTCAGAGATCTTGTCTTGCGTTGAAATTTAAATTTCAAAAATGATAAGGATTAGGTCGTAATAAATCCGAGATTCACCTCAATTTAAAATGTGAAAAATCTCAATGGTTCAGGTCGTTACAAATCAGTGATTCACCTCAGTTTTGAATATTGAAGAATACCGGATATTAGGTCATTACCAATTCCTTCAGGACGACCTCAGTATATAAAATCTTTAAACGCTAGAATGGCTAAGCTCGTTCACCATCTACTCGCCTTAACGCTGCTATAGGCGAGCTCGCTACATAACGTATTATACCTGATATACGACGCACGCTTGGTCAAGAGACTTTACTTTGTCTCAAACCTATCTCATTTGGAAATACGAAATCCATCACATGAGCTTGCCTCTACAAACTCGTTGAACTCGTTGACGAACACCGAACCTGTGCAACTTGTT